GAGGAAAAGCCCAAGCAGGTTTTTTTTTTTTCCCCTCCTCTATTTCCATTGTTGAGTTTCCCTGAAGTGGCCTGGGCAGCTGTCTGCACCCTGGTGATAATTCATGAACAGCACTTTCATCTCCAGAGCCGTTGCAGCTCCCATCTAATGAATCCCAGCACTGGGATCCTTCAGAAAAAAAAGGACGGATCTGGAAACTGAGCAGCAACACAGCTCCCCCCGGGTAGCAGCTATTAATTACTCCATTAGTGTTAGGGATGTACAACATCCCAGACCCTAAGGCACCAATTGGGATTTCTCCAGATGAGATGCTGTATAAAATATAGGCAGGAAAATGAGTTTCTGGTCAGTCTGGTGGAACGTGGTCCCGGGACAGCTGCCTGGGTTGGGGTCAGGGAGTGGGACACATCGAACCTGATGTGGGAAAGTCCTGCCCCGATGCCAGGCGGTGGGAGCTCGCCGAGGGCTTCGGCAGGGCTGCGCGAGCGCTCCAGCCATGAGCTGCACAAACAGCCACCCTAAACGATCGCATGCTAAGCACAAATCGGTGCCTTGAGCCAACAGCCAGTTAAGTGCTATAAATAAAGCTGTTATCATCCGTGCCTCACTCGCTGAGCAAGCTGGGCCACAGCGCTTCCTCCCCAGCAGCATTTAAGGGTGATTTCTAGCCCGGAGGAGGCCAGGAGCTTGTCAGCATCCACACTTTGGTGGCCTTTTTCCATCCTGCCATTGATTTTGCACTTGACCAATAAATCCACTGGTTGCCTGCCCTGGGCACAGGTGGGGGACAGAGCTGGCAGACACGGCCACTGTCCCAGACAGGGAGGACCATGTCATGTCTGTGGCCTCTTCCCAGCTTGCCTGGGTCCCAGGAGCGCCAAGAGCCTCCATCCTCCTCCTCCTGCTGCTGCTCTTATTGCTGTTTAAGGTCACTGACCCCAGCCACCACCACTCTGCTCCTGACCCGTCCCCCCAACCCTGCACCAAGCTGCCTGTGCTGCCCTGGCTGAGAAGCTGCAAAAAGACAGAAAAGGACAGCTCTGTCCCCAGGCGGTGGCAAAGGGACATGGCCCAGCATGGCACAGGTTGCTCCTGGTCATGCTGGTGGGAGGAAAGCAGATAAGAAATCTGGGTGAGGAGGGGGTGAGCAGGAAGATGGATGTGCATGGTTATGGGAGAGGAGCTCCTTTCCCAGCGGGGGATGAGGACCTGCAGGAGAAAGCTCAAGCAGAAGAGGATGGAGGCAGCTCACGGGCAAGTGTAGCAGCACATTGAGTCCCTGCAAGGATGCCACACGCTGTCCCAGCTCCTCCTAAATCAACCCAAGGGAAGGAACGTGCTCGTGTCACGCTCCCCAGGAGACAGAGAGGCAGAGGAGGGAGAAGGCTGCTGCTCTCCAGGGCTTGAAGACTTTCCTGTCTCTGTTTTGGTGCCGGTTAATGATGCATGGCCAGGGCTGGGAGGAGAGCATGGAGGGGGAGGGCAGGATGGAGGAGGGGGCCCATATGGAGATGCTGCTCCCAGAGAGCAGCAAGATGCTGAGCTGGCGTGAGATCGGGAGCTCACCGAGACATTGGCTGTTAGAGCCAAGCAATCAATATGTGAAAATCCAGCCCAGGCGAGGAAGGTGACCTTGAGCAGCAGAGAGACGGAGGCAGGAGAGCTGCATGAATTACACGCGGAGATGCTCTCTGGCTGAGGGAGGAGGGATGGAGGGGAATGAGAGGGACAGGCAGGGTGTGAGCTCTCTGCCCGGCTGCTGCAGAGCCTGCTGTGTGCCCAGGGACAGGGCAACCGCGGATCCAGCCGGAGAGGGCGAGGGGAGGGAGGTCAGTGCCCAGACTTGGTCTGCTCTTCCCTGTCGACCCCTGCACACCCCATACCAGGCAGCATACAGCTCCCTGCACGTCCCTAAAGCAAAACAGTCCGGGAGCGGCCGCCTGTCTCACCTATCCCCTCTGACCAGGGCTGCTTCCCAGTGCTCCCCCAGCCCCACATCGTTTAACTGTCTCCAGATATGGGGCTGCCACCGTTTCCCATCAGAGACTACTCTGAAGCCCTGCAGCTCCTGCTATTACTCAGCAAAGGCTCCCGAGATGAGCGACGCTTTGCCTTTGCACGGCTCCAGCTCACGGCTTCTAACACGGGCCCTGCGCTAATTCTTCTCTCCGGCTGCTCTGCTCCCTCCGCTGCTGCTGCCTGGCCCTGCGTGCCTGCGGCGGGTCTGCTGCTCTGCTGTCTGCTGGCCCCGTTAGCTGGGCTCAGGCGATGCCCGCAGCAGGCTGGCAGAAGCAGCACGTGTCTCTCAGCAGAGATGCACAGTCCCTTACATGCATATATGTGTGGGACAGGCTGTGCAATCCTATAAAGCCTCCGCCACAGCAGTGACTTAAAATGCAGGCAGGTCCCCAAGGGCAGGCGGTGACCCTGCCCCTCGGAAGCGGCATAAGCCAAGGCATCAGCTGGGCAGAGCTGCAGACATCAGGGGATGGAGAGGAACCAAGACTCCCAGCTGCCTGGCCACAGCCTAAGGGACGTGGGGCAGTGGGCAGCAGGGGTGACAGAGGAGGTGACCAGGTCTCAGACACGCTACCAAACCAGGTTGAACTGGCACAGGACTGTCCTGCTGGCAGGAGGGCTCAGGACAGCCCCTCTTAATGCCCGCTGCCATCTCCAGCCCCAGGGAAGGCTCTGTGCCTCCACGCTGCTCCAGGGCAGGATCCAGCCAGCCACTCTGGGGTGCTCGGGGAGAGCCTGGGGGCAATGCATCCCCATGGAGGAGATGAGGTATGTCCATAGGGTGGGAAAGGGGCCATGGGGCCAGTGACAGAAGGGGGTTGCTGTTCCCTGCACCATGCTGCAAAGACAGGCACTGGTTTCTTTTCCCCACTGCAGCAGCAGCAAGGACATGAGAGCACAGTTAATAACTGCACCAGCAGAACAGTGGGACTGAGCCCCCAGCAGCCCCCTCCCAAAGCCAGCCCCTGCCTGCCCCCTCCAGGACTTTGGGGAAGGGGAAGACCTGCTCCCCCTGCCCGCTCCCTCCTCCCCAGGGGTCTGAGAGGACCTGAAAGCCACACAAGGCAAGACAGCACTGCTGAATCTCAATTCTCCCCCAGCACAGCCCCCTCCGAGCCACCCCATTGCTCTTAGAAAAGTTTGGGTTCTGCAAAGCCAGCAGCCCCATCTCCCCCCGAGACATCCCTCCACCTACCTTACTCTCCTCCCCCACGAAGCAAACCCTTCTTTCTCCTCTGCAGCTTCTTTTAATCCTTCCTCTGCCAACACCGAGCACCTGGGCTATTCCCCAGCTGCGTGGGCATGCCCGTGAGACGATAAAACCACCCCAGAAGGAAGGTAAACAGTAGAGAGTGAGTTTGCAGTCCGAAGTTAAGGTCAAGCATTTCCAAACACTCTGCCTTGCCATCTAGTGGGATGAACGCGAAGGGCCGGGGCTTGCCGTTGGGAAAAGTTGGCCAACTCCATCCCGCTGGAGCCGAGCCTGGCTCGCAGCAATATTTCATCCCACGGGAGCAGATGAGATCACCGGGGGTAAAGGACGGTGCGAAGATGTCAGAAGGATGGATGAGGAAGGAGGAGAGCTAGGGGGATAGACAGACAGGGGACAGATAGATACAGCTGTTTCAAGGATGGCATGACAACGGTGGTAATAAATCCTGGCATTTTAGATCTAGCCTGAAAGGAAAGGCTGGAATAGCTCCAAAATCCCATTAACCAAGGGCCCTGGCTTTTGGATCAACATAATACATCCCTGAGTTGGATTTTGTATGGAAAAGAAGGGTGAGGGGAGGGAGGTGGTGCACACACACATGCTCCGTGCCACTGGCACACTTGTGCCCGTGCTGTGCCAACGAGGCAGGCTCGCGGGCACGAGCGCCCAGCGGTGTTTGCAGTGTGCCCATAGATGAGAAGCTGGATCTTCTTGCAAGGTTTTTTCCAGCCGCCTTAGTTTGCCTCCCCGGGCTTCGAGGATGTGGGCTGAGCTCAGTGGTTTCAGTTCAGGATTTTGGATTCTCCAGGGATGTGTCATCCTCTCACGGTATGCGTGTTTGTTACATGTGTATAAAAATATAGAGGATGAATACATTATATTTAAAATATCTCACCACTGGGCAGCTCATTTCGGGTGTTGAAAGCTGGGATGATACGAGATATTTTAACTCCCTCCGAGTGACTCTTCCCTGCTGGACCTGGGACCGTTTGGCTCCCAGGCTCCGGTGCTGCTCCAGGCTTTCTCTGCAGCTGAAGCACACCCAAACCCAGGGACACCCTCCCTTCGGGCAGAGCTCATGCTGGAGACCCCACTTAGCGCCAGGACAGCTCCCAGTCCCAGCGGGGGTCAGGGTCTCTGCAGAACAGGGGCCCCCCGTGCTCAGGTTTCCTACGGCATCTTCTTTGGGAGCGCACAGGGACAGCCCAGCTGCGGCCACAGCTCACACTTGGGTGTGCAACAACCCTCCGGAGCCACACAGACCCACCTGATGGACCTGGGGATGGCTGAGGGGACACGCACGTCAAACCTGATGTGGCCAAAGCATCGCCTCTCTGGAGGAATGCAGCTCCCCATCCCTGTCCAGGAAACCCTGAAAGCAGACATGGAGGGGTCTTCCCAAGACCCTGGGAGGGAATTGAGGAAGAAGCGGGACACAGGGAAGTCCCCGTCTTTGCAAACCAGCACCGTTCACAAAGCAGCTGCTGGGCTGGGGCTGGGCGAGAGCTTTCTGCTGCTCTCACTGTTGAGAACAAGACACTGAATGCATTTGTAAAGTCTTCATTTTATTAGAGCTGCCTGTCCCCTGCTCCATTTGCCCCAGAACTGAGTTCACCCCTTCACGGAGGCTCAGCTCACATCGGGGTTAAATGCATCTGCCTTAACCCCACATTTTCCATGGGGCAGCAGGGTCCGAGGGGGTTTGGGGTGAGGGCATGGTGGGTCCGGGAATGCTCGCCGTTTTTTCCCAGCGTTGGGGCCGTGGGGCTCAGAAGAAGTGGCCCGTGGGCAGGCGGGGCAGGCAGAAATAGGCGTTGGGGAAGAGGCTGAGGTTGATGGGGTTGCCATCGAGGCGGATGTCCTCCAGTGCCCTGCGGATCTGGCTGTGGTCTTGGCTGTTGCAGAACGTGTCCTCGTGCATGGTCTGGATGTTGTTATTCTGGCCAGGGAGGCAAAGGGCAAAATCAGATTCGAAGGGATGGGGAGGAGAAGGAGAAGAGGTGGTGGTGGGCTTTGCTAGACTCACGTACAGACAAGCCTGGGTCTGGGCTCATCTCACCTGGAGGTGCAGGGAGCGCAGGCTCTCAGGCAGCGGTGCTGGGATATAATCCAGCTGGTTATCGGACAGATGGAGAAACTGCAGCTGCTTCAAGTCCTGCAGGAAGAGGAGAAAGATGAACGGCCCTCCTCGCAGCCCCGCTCCGGCCCTCTGCACCATCCATTTTACCCCTTGGCATGGCAGGTTTGGGCTAAAACCAGCCTGGATTCATCCACCAGGCCAGCAGCCCCAGCACCCACCCGGAAAGCTTCGGGCCGGAGGCCGGTGCTGGGGATCCTGTTGAGACGGGCGTCCAGCCGGACGATGCTGCGGGGCAGCTCGGGCAGCGCCGTCAGCCTGTTCTCGGGCAGGATGAGCTCCTGCAGGCTGGGGAGCAAGCGGAAGGCATCCGCATCTGCCCAGGAGATGAAATTGCTGGTCAGGTCTATTCGCTTCAGCTTCTCTGGAGGGAGAGGAGGGAGGAAATGAACAGGGACCCACAAAAAAACGCTTATTCCCCCCGTGCCCCATTGCAGAGCCTGACCATTCCCTTGCCCGGACATACTCAGTCCCGTGAAATCGCTGGCCCGGATCGCACCGATGCGGTTGAAGCGGGCATAGAGGTACGTGGTCTCCGGCGGCAGCGGCGGGATGTGCTCCAGGTCGGTGTCGTCGCAGTAGACGGAGGTGCTGATGCACAGGCAGAGCAGGCAGCTGGGCAGGACTGGGAGTGCAGAGACAACCCTTGGTATGGCACGGCACAGCTCCCGCGTCCCCCACGAAGCACTGCAGCATACAGGGAGGTGGGAGGCCATGCCCACCCCTGCCCACGTTGTGGGTACACGAAGTCTTTAGCACCCAAAGCTGTCACAGCCCCAGCACCTTCATCAGCGAAACAGCCCAGGGCATCTCGGCAAGGGAAGGGCCAGAAACTCTGAGCCAAAAGAGCTGCTAATAAGTGAAACTGCTCAGGGCCAAATACCTCCCACGGGAGAGGGGGAGATGTAAGGTTGCCAAGCACAGCAGCGTTACACCCAGGGCTCACTTGGCCCCCTTAGTTTTTCCATGGAAGGAAACAGAACAAAAGAAAACAGTTTTGCATCGAGCAAAACATCTGTCTCAGCTGCGTGAGGGTCCTGGCAAGCCAGGCAGGGGTGGCAGGAGGGGTAAAGCCCTGTCCTTCCCACGCACATGCTCCCTCTCCTCTCCCCCAGCGCCCGCGAGACTCAGCATCCATTAGTGGGGGAGTTCAAAGCAGCAAGGCAACAATTTCCCTTTGCCTCCTACTTAATTTGTCCCAGTCCAGAGTGACAGAAAATGAATAAAGATATTTATCCCTCGCTACAGGATTTTAATTGTCACTAATCTAATTGCTACTCTGTCCGACTGTCGCAATGCCTCTGCTCATTAAAATGTTGCTGCTTTGCTGGAGCTCTTGTTTCCCAGAAATGTCTCGCTGCAGCCCTCCTGCCTGCTGTGTGATAAGACGCACCCCCAACACCCCATCTCCTCGCTGCCCGGGCAGAGCAAATAACTGCTGCTGTCTGCTGGTGGCAAAAGGATTTGCTCCCTTTTCTCCAGAGCACCAGCCCTGCCGCCTCTGGGACATGTGGTTGCATCCCATGGGAACCAAATCCCGCTGCACCCTGGGGTCTGCACTCACACTGCACGGGGATGGGTGCTGGGCGGACGGGGCCAGCGGTGGTTGGAGGCTTCAGCTTCGGGGTTTCAGCCGTGGTGCCCAGGTTTGGGAGAGCCATGGGGTCCTTCGGGCGAGGAGCCAGGGTGCCAACCTCGACCTGCAAATACAGCCTGGGTGTGAGGGCTGGGGTAGCCAAGCAAGTCCTCCCGCTCCCCTCCAGCACAGGAGCACCGGTCGAGGGGTCGAGGGCACTGGGTAGGTCTTACTGAAAATCTAGCTCCTCCTCGGAGAGCTCTCCCAGCTCAGGGTTTCAAAAAGCCCCCCCCCATTTGCCCAGGGATGCAGGAAGCCTCATGTCCTGGCATCCTGCAGTGATGCTCTGGCCAGGCGATGGCACGGGACAAGGAAGCCAGTGGAGGTCAGGGTCCGGTAAAGCCTTTCCTGCCATCAGCAAGAATGGTGGAAGAGCCACCCAGGCTTGTAGGCTTGTGCAAGAGGCTGGTTCTCCAGCTATGCCCCATCCATTCCTTGGAACAAGCCCCTTTCTCGGGATGCACCCAGGGAAGACCTGTCCCACACACTGGGTGCTCTCCTGCATCCCCCTCACCTTCGGAGCAAGGTCGCCGTAGTCATAGAGCTCCTCATAGTTGTTCAGGTCAAGGATCTCACCGTAGTTGTCCAACGTCAGGTCATAGTTGTCCAGGTCCAGGTTTTCGTAGAGTGCAAGATCAGCTTTTGGGTTCCCTGCCATCCTCTTCTCCTTGGCTGGGACAGCCCAAGCTGCCCCCAGACACAGGCTGGCGATGCCCAGCCAGGCCAGGGTCCGCATCCTGCACCCGGCCAGGGTCACCGCTCCGAGGGCAGCGCTGGGGACCACAGTCCCCAGAGGCACAGGGCTCCGACAGGGCCAGCAATGCAGGTCAGGATGGGGCCGGGTGCCCTGAAACGGTTGCAAAGCAGTGAAAGCAAAGAGGGACGGGAACGCACGACTGGCACGCCGGCTGCAGCCAGCCCCGCTCTGCAGCCGTGGTGGGGACCGTGGCCACCACGGGGGACAAACGTCCTCCACCGCCGGCCCCGGGAACATTACGCCGTCCCTTTTCTTTTCAGCCCATTTCACGCTCGGCTGGATGGCTGTGCAGGAGAGGCCCCGCAGCCGTGCCGGACTGCCCTCGCTTCCCGGCTTTCCCAGCCCCAAGGAGACGGTAAGGGGGTCGGGAGGTGATGAGGGGCTCAGGGTTCTGCTCTGGCCCCTCGAGGCAGTAGGTGAAACTGGTTGGTGGCCCAATAAACCCAGCAGCCAAGCAGAAATGACCCCAGGAGTCCTGGCATTCTGCTGCTCTCCCCTTTGCTCGCCCTGCTCCAGGTCCAAATCCTTGAGGTGCTGTTTCTCAGCCTCCAGCATCCTGGGCAAGCCAGCACCCAAGGGACCCGAGGCCACAGGGTCCCTGTGACTCGATCCTGAGCACAGGGGCTGCCTGCATGGGGACACCCCCACCGGAGTCCGTTCCCAAAGGGAGCTCACTCCCACCTGAAGCTGGCCCCTGCTCGTGGGTCCCCAGCACCCACCGTGCACCCTGTGCTGCAGCATTGCCCACCCAGCGAGCTGCATGCCCATGTGTGCACCCACGGCAGAGCAGGCGGAGGGGCCCGGCACCCAGCAGCCTCCCACACATCTCTCCTAAACCAAATGCATTAGCAATGACCCAGCCCAGACTTTTTGCACCCCGGTCTGAGGATGCTGCTCCCTAATTTCTGCCAGTTTCCCACAGATCAAACCTTTACGAGTGCAGCGAGCCCCCCCAGGCGCATCACTGGCCCCCAACCACCCCAGCCCCGCAGCTCACCCCAGCCTGGGGGGTGGTCTGCTCGGTGCTGGAGGAGCAAAAAGAAGACAGCACGGACGTACCCCCTTTCCCCTCCTCCTTGGTGTGGGAGAACCCCACTCCACTCCCGCAGGCTGGTGCACTGGCAAGGGAAGGGCTGCTGGGCTTTAAATGCGTGGAAAGGAGGGGGGGGCTGCACAGAGGGGCCTGGCATGGCTGCTGCCGAGGGGAGAGGCAGGATGCGGCCAATCAAGCCGGCAGTCCCCCACTGGGACCTTATATTGTCCCCAGGGGTGAGCCAGCCCCAGTGGTGGCTGTCCTCCAACAGCCCAGGTTTGTGTCTGGGGCTGGGAGGGGTGGGATGGGACGGGATGGGATGGGACGGGATGGGGACTGTGCTGCGCTCCCTGCCTGGTGTCCCCATGAGTGATGGGGACACACAGCCCTGGGCAGAGGGGACAGAGCCAGCTCCATCCCTGCCCCAACCAGCCCAGGTCCTGCCAAGCCAGAGTGATTTCCAGCTGTGGCCATCCCCAGGGATGCAGGAATGGCAAAGCACCAGGCACAGCCCCCCTTGCTGTTCTGGGTTTCAACTGGGTGGGATGTTGGGGCTCGGTGAGCATCCCAGCCCTCGGGAGAGTGTGGGGGAACCCGCTGCTCCCCAGGGTTTGGGGGTCTGCACAGGCCCACCCCAGCAGCCAGATGGCTGATGACATTCTGCTCGTCCCCCCCAGCTCACCTCCTGTGGGGCTCAGCACCGCTCGCCCCTCCGTGCACCCTTGCTTTGGAAACATGGGGGTGGTTTGGGGAGGGGGAGCTGGTGCGGATGCAGGGGGGAGCAGTGCGGTTCCCCTCACCGGGGTAGGATGGGAGACATCCCCCATCTCCTTCTGTGCGCACCCACGTGCTTTGGGGCAGAGGGACTGCTTGATACCCCCCGGTCCTGCTTCATCCTCTGGGGGAGGGAGGGGATGTGATTGCCAGGGATGTGTCCTGTGGGGTTGGGACACCCCAGGACAGGCAGGGTGTGCACGGCAGCCCCCCCCGGGCTCGTTGCAGCGCTGGGCAGCCTTGTGCACACACAGCCACCCACTGCTGTAAAAATGTTCTTCTCTCCCGCAGGCAGATCGCAGCCCACGCACTCACCCACCCGAGACATCGCACCCATCTGCCGGTGCTTGCTGGGCAGGCGGGGACACCCTGGTAGCCCCCCACACACACACCAGGGGGCACAGGCTTTGTCCACACACCCGCAGCCCCCTCGCCCCCAGCCCACGGCGTCCCCCCTTGCCAGGACAGCCCCAGTCCTGCTCAGCACGGAGCAGAGCAAAGGGCCACCGCTAATCTTCGTTAAGCCCCTCATTAGGCGGCTCAGCAGCCACCATGATGGAGGCAATGTGGCAGCTGGGGGGGGGCATTACAGCTGACCCGGTGCCTCGGCTCCTTGGAGGGGCTGCAGGCACTTGTCCAGGGTCGGCTGCTGAGTTCCCCCCTTCCCCAGGGAGCGGGATCTTTGGTGCAGCACGGCTGGAGGGGACATGGCCTTTGGATGGCACCTTCTGCCCCAGCTCGGGGGGACATCGGGGGGCAGCTCCTGCCCGGCAGCCCAGCACAGGGGAAACTGCTGCAAAGCAAAAGCCTGGGCTGGCGAGGGTCCCCGGGGGCACCTGGGGTCCCTGTTTTGCTGCCCTTAGAGAAGCAGCTGGTGTCCGTCCTTGTGCCTGCTTCTTCCCTTGTCCCCCGAGGCAGCGGCACCTCGGCAGCCGCAGGGAACACCCGCACGGGTGGCATCACCCGAAGGGTCGGTGCAGACCCTCACGGCAGGGGAGGTCCCTGCCTCAGGCACCCACAAGTGGGCTGGGGTGGGGGTCACCGGCTGCAAGGGGCCTTGATTTGAGCAGTAACACATCCTGCTCCAGACTGCCTCTCGCCGTATCCAGCCACTTCCCAGTGGGCCCACGGCTCTCGCTCCAGCACCGGGAAGATCAGCACCCACCATGCTGAGGAGCCCCCTTTGATGCCCACCCCAGCAGCCCCACTCGGCTCCCCCCCACACACACACACTAACGAGGGGTTTCCAGCCTTCCCCATGACCCCACAACACACACGGCGAGGGGAGGGCTTCCCACACCGATGGCCAGGTCCCATTCCCAAGGTGGCACAGCGACTGTTTGCAGAGAGAAGAAACGAGCCCCCCCTGCTTTTGCGGTGCTCGGCTCCCCCAGGAGACAGGGCTGACTTCCCCAGGGAAGCAACAAGCGAATCTACGCCCAAGAGTGCATGATTCACGCCCCGATGACAAAATACGGAGATTTTATTCTCCGGCACAAAGACATAAGGGGAGCTCGCTGCCTGTGCCTGCTCTGCACACACACATGTACACGCATCCCCTCCTGCCAGCGTGCACGCTCCCGTGAGCAGCCCCACGCCGCAGCCCATGCGTTTGCACCCACGCCCACAGCCGTCCTCCCTCTCCGCTCATGATTCACATGGGGAGAGCAGCAGCAAGAGGAGATTTTTGAAGCTGCGGCGATGGGCAGAAGGATAAGTCGCTGCCTACACCCGTTCTGCTCGTGTGAAAACGCACACGCGCCCCGCATGACCGCAGCCCTGGGGATGGATGCGGGCTCATTGCCGTAGGTGGGAGAGATGCCTCCCCCTTGGCTCCCCCCGTGCATGCCCTGAAGCTCCTCCGTGCTGCTCTCCCGGGGCAAACTCACCCCAGGGACGTTTGTCCGGCTTCCCTGGGAGCATGAAGGTGACGTGGGTGCAGCTCAGCCCGAGTTCACACACCCTGCCCCGACACACAGCGCAGGCAGCCATCGCCTTCTCCCAGCTGGCTTGCAGGGACAACATCACCCATCAGCTGCAGCCACGACCCTGGGAGCTGCAGACGAGGTTGGGCTCTCTTAATTAGCAGAGGTGCTCATTAAGACAGGCACATGCTCCATAAGCTCACCCACCGCCGCTCCGCAGGGAGGTTTTGCAGGCGTGCCTGCTGCTTTGACACTGGCACTGCTGGCGAGTCCAACCCAGCATCCGTTCAAGCGAGGGCACACCACAACCAACCAAGCCCTGAGCACACCAGCCTCCCGCTGAAGGGACCCCTGGGGTCTCCCAAGCTCCGACCGGTGGGAAGGTTGGCCCCAACAGAGGAAATCTGGTCCTGAATGAAGCGGCAGCTCCCGTGCAGCAAGGAAGATGAGGATGGATCAGAGAGAGGCAGGTCCAACCACGGCTCTGGGTCCTTTGTGAATCATTTTATTTTCACTGCTGCGGAGAGTAGGAGTGAAAATACCATTAAGTTGAAATCAGTTGAGAACTACATATGTCTCTAGATATATCTGTACAGTCTACCAGTATATATACACATTATATATAAATATATACATAGGGTCTCCGGGTTTAAGGTTGAAACCTGTCGAACCCAATAAAGCCCACTGGAGGAAGATTTGGAGAATAGACTTTTATGATGAGAAAACAAGCCTGAATTAGCATGGGGGTTTCATGAACCTTCCAGCACTGGGAAAGGAGGAGCACCCAGCTCGCAGGGTTGCTGGTGTGTCCCCAGGCTGCGGGGAGCATCCCTGTCCCATTCCCAGGGAGCGGGACACAGTGCCCGTCCATGCCCGTCTCAGAGAAGGATCAGTTTTGGTGGCTGAACACAAAGGAGGTAACAGCTGGTTTCTTTGGTCTATTGCTTTAATGCTTATTTCAGTTGGATTTTTTTTTTTCGTCTAATGCTCGGCCTTAAATCTAAATCCTGAGAATCAGGAAGAAAAAAGAGTATAACCTCCCCTAAACCCAGACACCCTATATATGCAGGTACAGCTATCAAAGAGGGAAGCAATACATGTGAAAACAGGGAGAAGGGGGAATAAAAAATAGCTTTTCCAAAAGAGTAATTCTTCCTTTTTCTTTTTCTTTCATTTTTCCTAAAAAAAAAGGCAAAACCAGTCATGTGTTTGGTTCAAGAAAGCAACAGAGAGTAAAACTTCCAGGA